ATATCTATCCGTTTTACCTTTTCTATACATTCTGCAAGTTCTCAAACGCGATGTCTCAGAAGATATATTGCTTTTGCGCAAGATATGCTTGCGCAATCCTGATGATTATGCGGATTTTTCTTGAGAAAAAACAACTATTTAAGTGTACTGTGTATGGCTATATCTCATAAAATATAAGTGTATAGAATTTATAGATAGTGAGATGTTCAAAACTGGGGGAAATCAAAACATTTGCATGTTTCCCGCCACCATTCACTCACTTCATCTATAGAATGAAACAGGGTCTCTTCATGTCATAAAACCCTTCAATATTTATTAAATCCCACTGAAAAATCTCGGGAGCATTCGGGACAATCGAGACCAATTGCTCCGAATCAATGACATTTAAAATTGATTTGAATACTCCGTGTCTTGGAGGTGCCAGGGTAGAAAATTGTTGCCTTTGCCAAGTCATTCCGTTTGTATTACCTCTACATCTGCTTGCACATGCATGCACAGGCCACCAACGATGCCCACTGCTTGCAGATCCAAATTTTGCACGTTCCAGGTCACTGTGCAGCTTTAGGATTGAGTGGAGTTTTCATCAAGTTCAACTACGCACACGACCATCCAGAACTTTCGAGATGACAGAGGAAGTCGGACCAGGCATATATAACTTTCGTTTGTCCCACGCCACCAGAAGTAGGAGACCTTGCGAGCAATTCGTGGGAAAGGTAGTCGTACGTATTGTGCACAATGAAGCGCGACGGACGAGCCCAATGCGTACGTGTAACTCTAGATTCTTGGATTGACAGCTCGACCGCCTGGCGAGTCAATACTGGCAGCGTCTTGGAGAGTGGTGCAAGCAAATACGACGTGTGAATCAAGTTGAGGTTTCGGTGCCGTGCTCGTGGAAAGTCCTCAAGCCAGGTGGCAAGTCATGTGTCTCATCGACAGTGGAAGGGTTTCCATCAAAATTCAACCCCCCTCGTACATTTCCACCACCACTGTTTTTGATAATGTGCGAGGAAGCGCGACGATCGTCGATAGATTGCGATCCCGTGGATATGTGCTGTTCATATGGAATTGAAAGATGCGAGGTGTGCATTTCGCGGATGACCCGAGCGGTGACACAACGAAGCGGAGCTTGGGGCAAATCTTCGCGCCTAACACGACGTGTGTCCGCCAGCAAGATCGCTCCCATTCGTGTCGATGCAGAGGTCATGGAATTCCTGGTGCCATATCCATGCCCATGTCAAGAAATGTTCCAGTGGTCTGCTTGAATGCATCGGAGCATTGACCAAGAGTTCTTGCACCAAATGGTCACCCTTCATCAGTCGCAAGGTGCTGACTGGGTTATCTATCGAGCAGCGCCCTATCTGGATTGTTTCCGCCGTGAAGGCCCCAGGAAAAATGGATTGCTTGGCGTATAAACGACACATGCGCTTCAGTCGTTTGGCTCAAGGGCCACGGGTTTCAAACGAGACCCGCACCGGCCTATACTAGCGGTTTAGGCCAGTGATGCTTGACCCGACAGGCATCTCCCCCCCTTCACCCCCGCCAATAGTTGAATTGTCCATCGCAACTAAACCGCGCGTCCCGTCATCAGCCATCGCAATCCCATTTCCTGTTTTCTACTCTCGCGTATACACATGCCATTACGAAAATTTGTGCGGTACTACTTTCACCCGCTGGCGAGACCAAATTGTCTCAACTCTGGTCGTTTACACCGGCGCAATTCGCCTTGACACAGCAATGCTCCAAAACACCAGAACGACACGTTTGTCGACGTCCGTGGCTCGCGACACCACGTCCGCCAACTTGAAGAACCTTTGCCAACACGCACGCCCTAGAGGCCGCAGCACCTTTTCGGCACATTCTCTTGCCAGAGGTGCGACATGGCGGGTCGAGGCCATGGATATGGGGACCGCGAACGGATCACGTATTGCCAGCTGCCACGCCACATGGTGCGATGGAATCTAGGCGTACGGGACGGTGCCCAGTACGAAGCGTGGGTGTGGTGCCCAGGAATCGCAACCTAGAGACGTCACTGTGGCTCAAAAGACTTGAACTCGTGCAGCGAGGTGTCGACGACTCCTATTCCAGTGCGGTAACTGAATGGGGCTGTGCCATTGTGCCAGCGCATGCACGAGCTCAAACTTCGACAGCTCTTGTCTCTGTCCAGTCACGTTTCCAACGTATCAGCTGCGATAAATCATAAGTTCACTTGCGCGCTGGAACGCTGCCACGTCAAAATATCATTCTTCCGTTTGTTCCTGACGCCGACCGCATCCGCGTAATCGTTTCACTCTCGCGCCGGTCGGATGGCAACCGCCTTCTTTTGCGCAGGACGGTGGACATGGATTACATTGAGCAAGTTGCAACGTGCGTTGCGTTGTCCCCGGGCGCACTCCGTCTGCCCCGAACGCCGGCCCACAAGTGAAAGCACGAGTGAAGGGCAAACTGCAATTCGACACGTTCAAAGTGCACGTCGTCGTGTTGCTCTCGACAGGGCATAGTCGTACGCGTCCGTCGTGGGCAGCGACTGTTGCTGACGCTTTACCGGCGACTTGGCTCGTCGTGCTGTCGTCGCCACACAACCCATCGCGATGACGCGCTTGCGACAACCCGAATATCATCTGGTGCGACACTCCGGCAATCGCGGCTGGTGTGACATGCGGACTCTTCCGGAGTTGCCACTCGGACGGGCCCAATGGGAGAGTTTAGCCCGTTTATCCCGCCCATGGATTGGGGTTCCCAGCTGCGGTCACTTTCGATTTTACCCGCCCGAGTCACATGACGCCAACGTGCCACATTGACGGGTGCTCGCAGCCTGCAATTGCCAACACGATGCGGTGCCGCCACCATCGCCACCGTGGGCGCTGCATCGTCGACAACTGCAGCAACCAGGTGTACGCGCGCAACTTGTGCTGCCGCCACGGCGCCAAGAAACAGTGCCAGTTTGAAGGGTGCACGCTGCGGGCCCGCCTTGGCAACGTGTGCTACAAACACGGCGCCGACAAAAAACAGTGCAACGAACCGGGATGCACACAACCTGCCCAAGCCCGTCACAAGTGTGTCAAGCATGGCGGCGGTCGAAAATGCAAAGCCACGGACTGCGTCGCCCACGCGCGGGCCGGAGGGTACTGCCAACGCCACCGCGCCGCCTTGGCACCGAAACCTATCAAGCAAAACATCAACATGGGCGAGCTGTGGGGCGACCACCACCACCCTCGCCACGACTCGATCGACTCGTCCGACGACGTATCTGAAATTGGCACGGTCTTGAAGCAAGACCAAGCGCTCATGGTGCACCTCGACGGGTTTGACTTTTCCCTTGGCGCAGACGAGGTGGACATGCCCGTCGATCCGTTTCACATTGAAGACAAGTCGATGTTACACGACATTCTGTGCATCCTGGACCGCCTGTGACCATTTCCCGTCGCCGTGAATAGATAGACCGTGTAGCCAACTCCGAATGTGTTGTTGTATTTGCCAAGAAACGTGTGGTGTGCTTATGTACGTCTTGCCCTCCGTTCTCGGTGTGTCTTGCGCCATACAGCACCCTCGTCGAAAACGTCGTGCGCTAAGTCACCCCCTCGACGACAACCCCACTTGGAACCATGCAGCGAAGCGTTTTCGTCGGTTGCGACGGATTTTCACGTGGGCGGCATAATAAACGACAAGCTATACACACCCATGCGCCTGCCATGCAGGAGATCCATCGCGTACAATACACCTTTCCTCTCGGACCACACCACGGCACAGCCACCGGCCGATGCCGTCGTTGCCCGATAGTTCAAGTTGACGCCGGTTGCAATCGAGCCGTTGGGGGGGTGGTGAAAAAACATACATTCTCACCGTGACGTGTCCGGATTGGAGCGTTTGCTGGTGCGACATGTTGAAGGGAATATTGGAATGCCCCAGTTTTGCCCAAGGTGTCGACGGTGTCTTCGTCTAATATTTCTTCGCACGTTTTGATTGTTAGCGGGGCGGGGGCCCTTCCCTCGAAGGGACGCAGAGCGACTCGATGCTGCCGAACGTTGCTCCAGCTTTCACACAGACGTTCCGTGGTTTGGGCGTGGCTAGCCGTTTGGATCGACCGTGACGTGTTTTGAAACATCCGAGTGCACGTCAGGGCCACCGGGTTTGTGACGACGTTGGTTTTCAGGCGTGTCGGGGTGGTCGGGGGTCTTCCTTACGCATCCATCCCTTGTGTAGAGGCGTTCTCGAAGCTGTCTACGCCCGTCCAGACCCCGCTCGGACTCATTTGAAAGCTGTGCAGTCCCTGCAGTATGCATAGTGTGACCGCGCAACCCAATTCGTCCAATCCAACCGTGCTCATGCCTCGATTGCGTAGAAGCGCATGCGGTGACGGACTGAACGCTATAGCGGCGTTGTTGCAGCTCCGCGTGCTGCATTGGCTACGGAAACGAGATGGCGCGTCGTTGTACAACAAACCTTTCTCCGTACGCCACTAGAAACCTTTGTCCCATCTGTCGAACGGGACAATCCTGTCGTTTTGGTGTGCCCCGCCCATTGCTGTCTCTGGCCGACGCCGAGCACGAGCGGTTGGAACTCGCGTCGATGAGGACTCGGTCGACATCTCGACGAACACAGCTCCCGGTGCGACGTCGTCGGGGGCGATGGGATCGATTGGCCATCGTTCTGCTGCTGCCATAGGATCTCGCCGCGACGTTCCCGATTGCGACTCGGACGAAGTGCGGAAGCACATCTTGCATCACCGGAGCATAGGCGAATGAGCCGCCGACAGCGTCGCCGCGGTCGGCTACATCTCGGCAGACTCTGGCGCGATATCTCCCCGTTTGAGCCACGTTATCGTGCATCCGATGAATGGGAGCGCGACGACTCTTGGCAGCAGCACAGTCGACGCACGACCTTCGTTTGTTCCCGTGCCGTGTGGCATGACGCGTTGGCCACTCGATGCTCTGGCGTACTTTACCGCACAAGCAGCAATGTGCCTTGTGCAGAAAGGCAAACTTGTCGTGATATGAAAAGCACCGCGAGGCCAGCGAAACGTGGCATCCCTACCCTATAGTAAAGCCAAGCCGTCCAAACCTTTCGCACGATGTGTTTTGTCTGCCTTCTCAATCGCGCGCCTTGCGCCGTGGAGCAGAATGGGGGGAGTGTTGCCACCAGCTAGGGAGTGTGGCGTGGTGGGTCTAAGGACAGCGGCCGCCAAAATTCAACACCGAGGGCTGCCTGCGCGGACGCACCTCGTCGTTGTTCGATTTGCAAACACCACGTTTCGTTTCATCGTCACCATTCCATTTGGTCGTTGTGGTTGCTCAAAATGCACGTAACGTCGTGTCCCGTGGATGTTGGAACAGCACGCGGGATGGTGATATGCGATCGAAGGCGTGGCAGCATGAACTGACCTGTGGACCCTTGCACGGACTTGCAGCAGCGAGGGAGCCACTCGTTTTTCTTACGCCGGCATCGTGCTGCTTTCTGAATTACAGACCCGCATCGGTGAAATGGTTTTGAGACGTGAACACCACTCATTCACGCACACGTCATTTTTGTCTGCCCCTCGCCAAAACATGCACACACCTGCTAGTACGTACTGGAGCCACAGGCACCATGCTGCCTGCTGCGTGTTGAACGTCATCCAATGTGTGCTTTGTGTGCATGTCGAGAACGCCGCCATGCAGCCGATGGCCTGGCCAAATTCGTCGACAAGGTGCCGAGTTGGCATTGTATGCCACCGTCGCACGACCAATAATTGTCTGGCAATCAAGGACTTGTCGCCGACCAACACGCCTCATCCGATTTCGTTAAATGTGCAGTTGGTGCACGAATTTACTTCATGCGCCTGGGGGTTATGTCGTCGACATCCCCCCAATTCCACGGCAATTGAATCAAGTCGTTGCGGCACGTGTCGGCCACATAGCTTTCGGTGGCGTCATCGACTGTCATGGCATCGATCGACGTCCGGCGCGCGCCGTCGTGGCCTTCCAGGATGGAGATCATATTGAGGAAATCTTCGACCGTAATTTCGGCCGCCACGTCTTCATCGTGGACGTGATGCAGGACGGGCACCGTGTACACGTCGTCGCTGTGAGACGACGACATGGTACTCAAGTTATCGCCGATCGTTTCGTCGTTGCTGTACACGCCCGCATGCTCCCCGCAAGGCCGTCGTCGAGCCACCACGGGGCGTTTGACCATTTCCATCGAGCACACGACGCAGAGGCACACGTCGAGTTCTTTGGTTTGCCACGTCTGCGAGCACCGCCGGCATACGACTTCGCCGCACACGCGGCAGTTTTGTTTGCGACTGAAAGGTCGAAAGCGCTTTTGACACGCAAAACAGCGCAGGCGATGGCCCAGTGGAATCATCGCGTGCAGCGGCAGGAGCGCCGGCATCGAGTGGAGCAGCCGCACTTTTTGAAAATTCAAGTTCAAGTCGGTCTGGAGCGCCATGCATCGCTGCTTGATCGCGTTGCTGATGATCCACTTTGGCACTTTGCCCTTGGGGTCGAGGTGCCACAAGCTCGCGACGCGCACGTGGCCCGGCTGGTCGTAGCATTCGAGAAATACGTAACCAGACAAGTGCTGGACGCCGCGGACGACATTGAATGAAGCTGGGAAAGCTGGGCAACACGGTAGGTCCACCGATATGATCGCTTGTACCCACCCTCGAAGGGACGTCCCTCTCACGGAGAAGGCATGGCAGCTCTAAGCAATTGTCACGGCGCATTCAGCGATGAGGGGCGAGCGGCACGTACCTCCAGGAAGACGTAGTCTCGATGCTTGACAAAGGAAGGCACGGGGCTCTGCTGAACGTGCCATCGGAGGTTGGCCGAGCAAAACGGCTGTGCGACCGTTGGTGGTTGGAGCGAGTACAAGTTGACTGCGTCCAGGCAGTCGCGGGTGAACCGTCGGCAATACTCGCGGTACTGCTGCGTGTTGGAACACTGAAAAGCGGCGGCAATCTCGCTGAGCGACGAAGGCACAAGAGTGATGCCACACCACGTCGTTGTCGTCGACGGGGCGTTTGAGTCGTGGCCGCAGTAGATTTGCACGTCCTTGGTGTCTGCGTGCAGAGACCACTGGATGGCTCCGTTGTGCAGCTTCGCGCGTTGCACCTGCATTTTGTCCGTCCGTAAGAGAGAGAGTGACAACATGGTGGGCTGTAGTGTATACCAGTTCAAGACTTGCGGCTTCACCGAGCGCTTTGTACCGCTTCACGTCGTCCGGCGAGAGGGCGGGGCAGGAAAAGTACCCTTCCGGAAGCGGAAAACCCGTCGGCGTCGCCATGACAGATCTCTTGTCGGTGTGGGGACAGCCGTTTGTCGTTGTGGCGATTCGAGAGACGTTAGATTGACATTGAAGGCAATTACGATTCGAGTATCCAATTGTCTAAAGGGCAATGGCGGACTCTCGTGGATACAAGGGGTGAACGCTCTCGAACCTTGGCAGCTCTCCTGCCGCTACGGGTCCCTTGTCTTCGGGTGTGGACTAGTTGCCGGGCATCTCGATGTGGAGATTGTCAAGTCAATTTTTGGTACCGACTGCAGTACCTCCCGTCTGTGACATGGCCATGTATAACAACAACCTTCGACGATATCCGTTTAATGGCGACCTGGTCTTTTTCGTGTGGCAGGCAGCTTGGCCGCTGGACTGAAGTGACGTGGTGGTGCCGTCAAATGCAAGGGTGCGGTGAGCCCAGCTGGCAAAGCCAACCACATGTACTGTGCGCGAAATATTAATATGTATGCGCTCATTGAAATCTTCAGTACAGTATATCGCGATTAGTGTCCGATAAAAAATGCACAACGACTGTGGAGATTGCTTCCTATGAAGGGTGTACTACATGTAGTATCTCTGTTTTGCCAAAATTGCAGCGAACATTCGACAGTATACAAATTCATAGTGTATTGAATCTAAAGATAATGAAAAAGGCCACGCATTCGATTCTCGCACTGTCAAGAGATTTGCTACATCCTCTAGTCCTCTAGTCTGTCCACTTCCTCTAGTCTAACTTTCTTTAATGACAAGGCCAATTCAACTTCATCCGTTCCAGCACTTTGGGGGATTTTGTACCGATTGCAACCCTTGAATTCGATAACAACCAGCATAATCCGGTGCAAGGTCATACACGTCTACTCCAACGTCTTCGAAAACAGCAAAGAAAATACGGCCTTCACTGCAGCAACCAGGTCTTCCATGCTTGCGGTACTCCATCGTTTGTTGCAGTGATTGAATTGAGTTAAATATACCAAGATCTAGAACATTGAGATCTGGTGACTTGGGTGGTTGACACGCAACCCGAATACTCCAACCACCTTGTCGGGCGGCAGCCGCAAACTCCACATCGTTCGACGAGATGTGCGGGCGAGCATTGTCTTGTAGTATAACAATGTCGCCAGAAAATCCAGGTGATGGCCATTTCCACTTCGTCTTGATTGCCGGTAAAACCTTGTCAACCAGTACTGGTCCATAGATATCGTTTGTCACCGTAACACTCTTCAAAATCTCGGCGCCCGCTGGTCGATTGGACTTGTGTGCGCGGTTGTTGAACGCTCCACCAGCTCCCAGCAGCCAATTTTGCCGTCCCAGACATCCCGAGGGCGAGCAACGGCAACGAGAACATTTCCTTGGTAATGTGCGCCTAGGATTGCAGATTTCGTGGGACAACAGTGTCATCATTCCAAAGCAAAAAGCGACGGCGCAGTTTGGTCATGTAAAACCATTTCTCATCTACATGAGTCACATTGTACAAATCGCTCATGTTACCGCTTAGGGTTTGTTGGGCTTGCAGAAGTCAACACAACCGGCCTTTTGGTCATTGATGAGGAATGGACGTGTCCAACTTAATCGCCGATTCATCAACTTTCGCCTGACACAGGTCTAGATCAAGTACACGGAGAGCCCAGTTGATGCTGCCAATTATCGGTACGTTTGGCGACGATGCAAAGGAGTGCTCTTGATGCGCGTCTCGACGTCCTCAGGTGTGTAGGTTGGTCGTCGCCCGGTGCGGCCTTTCATACGACCTGCAACATTTGCCACCTCAGTCTGTTCTTTCGTGGTTTGTCCTCTTTTTAGATGCGTCAACAAGTTGATGGATTGACGCCACGCCATATATCGGGCACACATCATTGACTGCGCTTCGAGAGAGCTTGCCATTTACAGACTTCTCGAGGAGGTCTTGGTACATGGCAACATATGGTTGTCTGTCAAATTTGACTTGGTTTAAATATTGGATTTTGTCATGCCTCAAGGACGCGAGAAGTAAAAACATAATTCACCAAAAATTGCACAGCAGTAGAACTGAATTCAAGGTACAATAACCACTAATTTGTTTGCCAATCAGAGCTTTGGAAGTCGACCAATTGATGCCGCTTGCAATATATGCAAAACTGAGATAGTAGTTTAGTAATGAAGTCACTGTTGGATTTCTCATCGAGGTCGCCGTTGAACACGGCAAGCCGTCTGTTACGTACACCAGTGCAAGACAACAAAGTATTCTTTAGCTGTCTTTGGACACGCTAGCGAGTGTCAGCATTGAGTTTCCTACGAACAGCGACATCCTTCTGATGACGTGGAGCTCCCTGGTAGCGACCACGATGGCTCCGCTGGAACACGATCCCGATCAGAACGTTCAGCGAGCCCGGTGGCCCGTGCACAAAGCATGGACCGTCCTGAAGACCGTGGACGACCGCGAAGCCAGACGTCGATGCGTCAGCTGTTTCGGTCGCCCGATGGGCGTTGCCAACCGGTGGTGGTCGATGAGGCGTGGCCGTATGCCGGAGCGGCGTTTACGCCATTTGTGGCTGGCTAAACGGCTGGGACGAG